TGCTTTTGTTTCACACAAGCAGCAAGGATCTCAGTTTTTCTGTCGCCTCCTGGACCTCATTTCCACTGCCTTTCTTCTGCAGTTGACTTGTGTTTTTGACTTGATGATGAAAAGAGGAAAGAATGATTCATCATTAGCTTCGGTCCACAGCCTCATAAATTTTCTTCTCTTTACCTAACTAATCATCATCATTGCTAATTACGCTCCAGAAAATAAACTGGAATGCAGTACGGGCTGGCTTCATGCAGGACGTATAAATCAGAGAGGCTGCTGACAAAATGGCTCAAGTGGCTGAGCACTGAAAGTAGGAAGTGTTTTCCCTTTCTGTCTTTGTGTTCGACTCATATAAGACCTAGAACTTAACTTGAATAGATTTGGGAATTGAGAAGTGTAATCTAATTTTCAGGCAGCTTAACACAAATTAAATCAACCTTACTTGGGGCATAAATTCATGAATAAAATTGTATGTTGGTTTTGTTGAAAAATGATGATGTGGCAGGTCCTGGGGTACAGCCAAGCGCGCTTGGACCCCTCCTCCCGAGCGTTCAACACTGCAGCTCCCTGTTAGCTGGGAAGTGTCTCTGGACAGCTCACACGGCAGTGGAGTGAGTGAAGGAGAAAATGAAGACAGACAATCCCAGGCCTCTTACCACACTGCTTGATCCTCCTGTCCCTTGGAAGTGATCTGCTCTGTTGTCCCAGCTGCTGAGGGACAGTGCCTGAGGTTATTCCAAGGCAAGGTCTCTGTTTGCTTCCTATGTATAGAAGGTAAGGGAAAAATTAATGGGAGTCATGTTAATAAATCATCATGATAGATAAATCGCTGATCACTTTTTCCAGCATAATTTTTGCTTGTTGTTTGTTTGAGAGACAGAAAGAGAGCTCTTCCATCTCCATGTTCGCTTCCCACATGTCCACAGCAGCTCTGGCGGGCCCAGGCCAGAGCCAGGCCCCTGGTACTCAATCCAGGTCTCCCGCATGGATGGCAAGGATCCAGCTGCTTCAGCCCTCACCTGCTGTTCCCAGAGTGTGCAGCAGCAGGCAGCTGGAATCAGAAGTAGAGCCAGACTCAACCCTGCAAGACTGACTGATGGGCGATTTGGGCTGTGTCCAGAAGTCTGTTCCAGTGGTCCTTCTTTTAACATTGGTATCATGAAACATTTTTGTCCCCAACTGCATTTAGCTATATTACCTGGGTCTCTTCAAATTTGTAAGATTGTAGGAATTTGTCAAATTTTGTGTACTTGCCAGTTCTGTTACTTTGGACACCATAGCTCAAAGTAATCCTTCCCCACAGGCACAGTGACATGTCTGTAATGTTGAGGTCAGATCCATGTTGCTGGAAGGGAAGAGTTGCAATGAGTCTTATTTTGTAGATCTGAGTTGGCTTTTATCCGCATTAGAATCAGGCAGCAGTCTGGATCGCAAGTGGTTCAGAACGCTGTGCCCTTCCCCATGTGCAGGTTGTATTTATAGCTAGAAAGAAGTGACAAAAGTGAATGAGAGAGCGGTACCAGGACAGCTGGACTGGCTATGGCTAGGTGGTTGCCTTGCTTGAACTTGGTTTGAGCAGTTGACCTCCAGTGATTGACTGCTGTGAGCGAATGTGGCTCAGCTGTATGTTATAAAGGCAAATACCCAAGTTAGGTTTTCAGTTTGTTTACATACTAAGTTAGGTTGCAGTTTGTTATGTAAGATCTCCTAGGGAGCATCCCTATGGCCAGCTTTTAGTTTAATCCTGTCAGGCTTTAACATAAGGACAGACAAGTGGGAGATTCACCAACAATCCTCTTTCTGTTTTTAAAGAAAAATGTCATTGCCTCGGGCATGATGTTAGAAGCATTTGGCCCTAACACATTGGGGATTTCTAACTGTTACACATTTCTGTTGCAGCAGAATGTGTGTTTTCCCATGTCCAAGCTCTATACATGAACTTCTGGTTGCACTTGTGGCTATAGGTTGCTCTACTGGACAGCACAGACCAGACTGTCTGGCTTTGAGGGACTTAGCTTGTCTCATTGTCCCCACCTGCTCACTTTCTTCTGTCCTGACCATGAAGAGGGCATTGTTGGATTCTGCGCCCTCTAGGGCTGCCACCCTACATCCTTGTCTCACACCACATGAAGTCTCATACTTGCATCTGGCATCCCCCAAGTCCCCATCTTAGCCCTGGATCTCTGCTCGCTAGCTTGTGGTCAGCAAACCCTGGTGTTTTCTTCACAGCCTTCTGCTGTTTGGAACACTTTGGCCTGCGTGTCTGGATTTGCTGATGGAGCTCCTTCTGCCCCGAGGGTCTCTCTCCCCTCTGCTTTGTCTGTGTGTGACTGATGTCTCACTGGTCTCCTTCAAGTTCCCGCTTGACTTTTCTCTGAATATCTAGGCCCACATTTTCAGCTTCTTTTTTTGTTTTTTGGTCTCTAATGTCTTATGAATAACTTGAATATTCCCCCAGTGCCTTCTATGGTATACCGCCCAAACAGAAGTCATTGCATTTGTTTTCCTGATAGTGATTTTTTTTTTAATTTCCCTTGAGACTTCAATTTGGATTTCTTCCCTTTGTGGCCAATCCTTGTAACATTTTGAACCTGCCCTGTTTTTCTGAGACCTGTCACTTTTTGTCTCTTCTCCTATTTATGCCAGTAGCTTGAATGATTCGTTCTCTCACTCCTGTTGGTGGTTCCCCGCTGTGTGCTGTCCAGTCCAGAGCTCCTCACAGCCAGCTATGACTTCTACTCCGTGTCGTGTGTCTGACTCAGCCCATTTCTGCCTCCTTGGCCTGGGCCTTGGACAGAAAGCTTGCAAGGATCTCTGGAGGATTATCTTTCTTTAAAAGACATCTATCAAAGGTCTTAAATGTAGGGGCTAGAACGATATCACTGTCATGTAGAAGTTAGCCCGGAATTAGGGGTAAAACTCTCTAGCCAACCATTGTGGAAGCTGGAACAGAGCACTCTGCGATTGCTGACAGCTTTTCCTTTGCTGATTTCCTAACCCAAAGACAGCCTGCCCTCTGATACATGTCTAAACCCATGGTTTACACAACCCGATCCAGATTTTTGACTAAGCTGGCTTTGATTCCAGCAACTCCTTCCTGGCATTTTGTCTTTACAACATCAAATCTCACCACCAGTGTGGGAGTCTTACAGACAACAAGGTCTTAGTGACGAGGGATAGAACTACATAGCATGATGCTTGACAGAGTGGATGTTCAATGAGAATCTGAATGCATAAAAGAATGAAAGAGAAAATAGATACATTTGTTCACTCTTGGGTTGGTTTCTGGACAGGCTCTGGCTGACTCATTATATCCTCCAACACCAGGCACTGTGCTTTGTGTGTGATGAGCACTGAAATATTGCTGAGTTAGTAAATAGATTATATAGTTTTTCTAGTATGAAGTTCTTGAATGCTACGCTGATGTTTTACTCTATGTAATTTAGGTGCTCTTAATGCTGCTAAATATTTTAGAATAGATTGCCTTTCTGGTTGTCATTTTTTCTTTCCCCTTTAAACTACTTTACTTACCCCGCCCCCATGCATTCTTAATTTTAGCAGATCTCATGTCTTGGGAGCTTGCTTTCTTTCACAAAAGAAATTAGCAGGAAAAGAAAAACCATGCAGGAGCTTTTCAGTTCTGCACTCTTGCTGTCTCTGGGCTGTAGGTGGAGTTCGGGGACTGGCAATTATTCTTACAATAGATTGAATAGTTCTTCCCAGAACCCTTCTGACTCCTTCAGGAGACACATAATTTGGATGCTTTCAATGGGAAACAGAATTGAGAAGCGTTTTGTTGAAACCACACTGGAGCACTGGGGAGGGGAGTAGAATGGGATCCCAAACTTGAGTTGAACTAAGTCACTCTTGCTCCACCCTCCTGCCCAAAGGGGCTGATGCCTTCTTTTTTCAGACCCGGAGGGGATGACTGCCAGTCTTCTGCAGCAGTCTTGTACGTTTTTACTTGATGTTGATCGGTGAACTAATGGCATTTACTTTTAGTCACAGTGCCATAGAAGTGAAAAGAACTGACTGGAAAGTGTTGGTGATGAGTGTGTCTTTGGGATCACTCTGAAGGCTCGCTGCTAATGCTGGCTTTGTGTTTTATTGTCTTTTTTCTCTGCAATTGATAAGACTTACTCTTGGTCAGGTGATTCGGCAGAAATGTTAAAAAAGATTTCTTCCTACTTCCTTTGTGATCTTATTGTAAGTGCAGTGTGAGAGAGCCAGGACCCTACCCCTGGGGAATAAGCAGGCTAGTTCCTAAAGCACCTAGGTTGGAGAAGTTACAGTGAGTATGCAGTGGAGGGAAAGCCAAGTCAGGACAAGGTAGAAAGGGTCTAAGGAAAGAAATGGTTCCCGGGAAATGCCACAAACTTACTAGAAGCAAGAGAGCTTCTCTTAGTACTGGCAGGGAATACCCCAGGGTCCTCTGAGCCGTGCAGTGAGCTGGTCTGCACCTGTGGGGGTCTTCATCTTGGAGGAGAGCCAAGTGTGTGCCCTGACAAGTCCTCCAAGACAGCCTTCCGAACACCTTCCACTGGGTGTCCCTGGATTTCTTTTTTTTTTTCAATGATTTATTTATTTTTTTTTTATTGGAAAGGCGGATTTACAGAGAGGAGAGACAGAGAGGAAGATCTTCGCTCCCCAAGTGAGCGCAACGGCCGATGCTATGCCGATCCGAAGCCAGGAGCCTCTTCCGGGTCTCCCACGCGGGTGCAGGGTCCCAAAGCTTTGGACCGTCCTCGACTGCTTTCCCGGGCCACAGGCAGGGAGCTGGAAGGGAAGCGGGGCTGCCGGGATAGAACCGGCGCCCATATGGGATTCCGGGCGTGCAAGGCGAGGACCTTAAACACTTGCGCCACCGCGCCGGGCCCCCTGGATTTCTGAGTTGGGTCTGACGCAGGTGCAGACCTTGGCACCTTGATGTAAGGCATCTGCGTGATGGCTGAGTCCCTGTACAATCATTAACTTTACCTGCGTGTTCTGTCTCCCTCAGAAATGAACACACTTGTGGATGCTGGAGGCCTGTGAGCTCCCTGGTCCCCTCACCCGGCATTGGAGCGACACGGAGTGGTGGCCTCTGAGAGGGACCCAATTCCTTCCTACCCTTGCTGCTCGCGATCCCGCCATGGAGACGCTGTCTCAGGATTCCTTGCTGGAATGTCAGATCTGCTTCAACTACTACAGCCCGAGGCGGAGGCCCAAGCTGCTGGACTGCAAGCACACGTGCTGTTCTGTGTGCCTGCAGCAGATGAGGACAAGCCAGAAGGATGTGCGGTGCCCCTGGTGCCGGGGCGTCACCAAGCTGCCCCCTGGCTTCTCCGTGTCACAGCTCCCCGATGACCCGGAAGTCCTGGCCGTCATTGCCATTCCGCACACTTCCGAGCACACCCCAGTCTTCATCAAACTTCCCAGCAACGGGTGCTACATGCTGCCGCTGCCCATCTCCAAGGAGCGGGCGCTACTGCCAGGAGACATGGGCTGCCGCCTGCTGCCCGGGAGCCAGCAGAAGGGCCTCACCGTGGTGACCATCCCCAGCGAGCAGCAGCCTCTGCAGGGCGGTGCCACCCCGGAAGCGGCCGAGGAGGAGCCCGACCGGCGGGGCGTGGTGAAGAGCTCCACCTGGTCGGGGGTGTGCACTGTCATCCTGGTGGCCTGTGTCTTGGTCTTCCTTCTGGGCATCGTGCTGCACAACATGTCTTGCATTTCTAAGCGCTTCACCGTGATATCCTGCGGCTGAAGCGGGTGCAGTGGAGGCTCTGGTGGGTGCCAACGCAGGGGTTGAGCAACTGAGGGGATCCCGTGAGAAGATGGGGGGCGACACTGACCATTGGGTGCCGAGCGCTGGCCTCTGGGTTGCCACTTGATTCACCCGAAGTCGGACACCAGAGGGGCAGAAGGTGAGGTCTGGGCAGGGTTCCAGGTGAATCGTTCTGCGCATGGATAGCAACAGCTGTGAGGCCGATTGCATGCATCCCCGTAATCATGTATTAAATGGACTGTACTTTATGATTTTCAAGCTCATGTTACAAAATAGACGTCTTCTACTTAGACATTAAACCGTACACGTGCATTCAATGTGATCCTCTAAAGGCGGTAGGTTTAAAGATGCCATGTACACAAGTAGAATCGAACCTGCGAATCCGTGTAGAAATTCAGTGAAGACACGCAGTGCTGGCTTCTTTGCAGTTTTTTCCCCCTTCCTTTTTCCAGATGAAACCCAGTCTTCATTTTAATTGCTGATGCTTTTTATACATCTCGAATGGCACCAAGTCGAAATCAGTTGAATGGACCAACATGTTTTGGAGAAATGGGAGAACACGAGTGCCTCCAATGTGTTGTGTTTTGTCTTGTACCTTCATTCTTCTTCCCTTGTAATTAGAGCTCGCTACGTGTTTATTAAACCGAAAGCCCGACAGGGGAGCAATAAACCAAGAAATAATGAGAAATGCCTCATCCCACAGAAACCTGTATGCCAATTTTTCTCAAGCCATCTCACAGAACCAGAATTTAAAATGTAAATATTGTGTATTTGTGTGTGTGTCTGTGTGTGTAATTTGACTTACCTCAGGCATCTAAATCTGTTCAGAAGAGGTCCCAGGAGGAAGCCCATGGGCACAAGGGCGCCAGGCTTCTGAGAGGTGGCACCTCTCGCGCGTCCCTGGGCACCTGCACCCTCCCCGTGCAAGGTCTCCTACGCATCACCTCCAGCACTCACTCCTCTTCCGTGTATTAAAGTCCTGGGTCGCGGAAGGCACGGAGGGTGACAGGAATCTCTCCTCCCAGGTGGGGTGTGTTCACAGCCGTGAATGGGCGTAGGGCTGATGGGAAGTGCAGGCCTGGACTGGAAAACGTGCTGTGTGCTTATTGTTGAAAGGAGGTGTCCTGTCACTGGTAAACCATTCACAATCCCAGTTTCCTGTCATTGATATTAGCAAGAAAACCTTTTGTATATTAAGATAGATTTTTACTGAGATGTAGCAAGGTACACTAATAACTCAGCATTCCCAAGTCCATGTTCAAGAATCCTTAACTGTGTGAACTGCTGTAGATACGTGAACAAGGGGCTGCTGGGCGTAAATGATAAATTTCATTCCTGGGGTTTGTGTGTATGCAGACATGACTCCGGGCTTCATCATTTTCATATAATATCTCTTTTTAAAAAAAGATTCGGGAATCAAGTAGTATGTGACAAGGACTGCAGTTTTAAATAGATCTATTTGAAGGTGCCATTAAGTCCCTGAAAATGGCCTGGTTTTCTGGAGAAGGGATGGAGGGAAAGGGGAGGGAATTTGGGAATCCAATAAAGGCAAAACAGTGGCTGGTTACAAAAAGCAAAGCCCTGTGGCATCAAGACCCTTCTTTTCCATGCTGACTTATCTTCAAACAGCACAAAACATGCATCATAAAGTGATGGGATTAAAAGCAAACAAAACAAATTATTGACTAGAATACAAAGCTAACACTGTTAATTGGCATGAGAATTCAGTGTTAAATTATGAACTCTGATTTTTCAGTCTTTCCAATTTGTTGTAAGTAAGACCTTTAGGAAATGTACTTGAGAGCTCAAACTAGAAATTAGGTTAAAATGCTATTTATTGTGTAAGCTATTGGGCATTATACAACAAATAATCTAGGATTTACTTGGTATTAATAATTTAGGAATTATATTAGCTGACTACTGTTCTCTATTATATAACACAGTACCCTGTTGGATTAGTGTCAATTTCTCAAACTCTTCCAGGCTGCTGTAATGCATGTCTGACCTAATTTGTTTCTCTTGGAGGGTGGAAACAAAAGCAAACTTGGAAATATTGGCTTAAAGTTGTTACATTTCAGATGGATTTTACCCTTACAGTTTGGAGTCATGCCATATTCAAATCAGTTTTGAGCGAATCTGCATATGCTAATGTATAGTGTGACGTGACCACACCTGTAGAATAGTATGTGCTAGCGTTGCACTTGTTACATAGGTTATCTGTAGACATTCATGTGTGTTCTGATCCTGTTTCCTAGCGCACAGCTGTAGAGTGGATATGTCCACAGAACTTTCTGCAGTTAAGCAGTGCAAAGTTTATTGGCTCTTTGGTAAATTTTTAACCCTGCAACTTAACAATAACAAGCAAAAATCAGAATTTCTGTGTGTGTGTATGTGTGCAAGTGTTACTGATGTTAGAATTGATGTTAAAGTGGATTCTGCTGCAGTTCTGCCTCTGCTTGCTGGGATGTACTTTGTTGTGTGTGTGTGAGAGAGAGAGAGAGAAAGAAGGCGGTCTCAACCTGTCAGATAGAATTTCTGTAAGCTTAATGATCCTTTAATGTTGTTTGGCATCCCATTGCTCCGGCCTCTTTTGGCATTGACCGACAACACTAACAACCCGTCTATACCCTGTGACACAAGCAACCAGAATCCATAGTGGCACATCAGTGAAGCCACAGTGAGAAGCAGAGGGTTGGAACTTCTGGAGGCTGCGTTTTGAGTTCGTGGAGGCCCGAGGAGGCCGAGGAGGCGTGTGGCAGCCTGCACTTCTGCCGCCCCTTGCGCTGTCATGGGTCTGCTCCCAGCCCGAGTGCATAGTGGTATTTGAGGGTTGCTGAGTATCCTTTACTTACTCAACTACTGCTTGGAGGATTTGAGGTTTTTCTTTTTTTTTTTTGAAGCTTTATGTATTCATTCTTATTGACATCTACCTCTCTGGGGAACAAAAGGAGAGTTGATGAAGGGATGAATTTAAAGAAAGCTATCAAGTACAGGGATTTGAAATTTTGAAATGGTAGAATAATGCCCTTCCCGACCGTTACCTTCTGTAAAGGACAGTGAGTTGTGTAAATAGTAAACTTTAAGCATGAATTTTCATCTTTATTAATGATCTTGACTTAAGCAAGAGAATGCTTACTGTGTTAAGTAAAGCCAAGTTTGGTGCTTTACAGCATTGACTTTGGAAAATTTTCTTACAATGACCTGGGGCATAAGTTATGGTGAGAAGGCAAATCAGTTCTCCGCTCTAGTCATAGTTTATGATCAGAAAGCTTTGAGGTGTTTTCTTTAAAAGTGAGCTGAGTTGAATGCGCATGGCTTGAGGAGGGAGTCCCTTGAGGGCTCAGCTGTGTGTTGCTGCAGTCCCCGCTGTCACCCCCGTCAGTGCTGTTGGAGATTTCCGGGATGATGGACATGTTCTGAAGCCACGCTGCCTCTTGGGTGATTAAGATAGTAGTTAGTATGACCAAGGAACTGGATTCTTAGTTGCATTTAATCTTGAGGAATTTAGATAGTTGTATGGGCTGGCAGGTAGCATGTTGGATAGTCCAGTGCTGAGTAGCAGGCGTGAGGATCCGGTATTAAGGTGTTGGTAGAGTACCAGAGAGGCTAGGGAAGAGTTTGTGGGCAGTTGGCACAAAAAAGAAAGAATGCTTTCTGGGCTTAAGAAGTAGGTGATGTCAGCCTGACAGTGACGATCCATTGATTACCTTCGGGGTGTTGCCAAGCTACTCTGCGTTAAGGAATGATCGGTGAAGCTCAAACAGTGGTTTTTTAAGCCCCTTTTGTTGGGATCATTAGCTGCATGTGAATCTATTGTCCAAAACTAGTAGCTAGACAGTAGCTGTGAAGTGTTGCATGACCTGTACTGTGAAACTGTGTTTAGGATCTAGTGGCCAAAAAGTAAATTCTACAGGGGGAAAAAAATCCTAATGAAATCCTTCTACACTGCTAGTATCTTACCCAAACTTCATCACTGCGTTAGAAGGTGTAAAATGTCAGAGCAAGCATGTTGTGTAGTGTTCAGAGTATTTTTGTTTGCCCTTGAAGTCCGCCAGCTTGTCATTGTGTTTTGTGTAGGCATATGTGGCATCATTTTTCAGATGCCAGACCAAAATGTAGGTACTATTTTTAGAGTGAGATTTGACATTGTTTTGGTATTGCTTGGTTTTTGCTTTATTTTAATTGTTGTCAATGAAAAAAAAAGTGAAGGTTTGCCCAATGGCATCTTTTTTCTTTTCAAGCAATAAACAAAAAAATTGCCCATAGAGTTTAAACACTTGAAGATTATTAAAATTATTGGAATTTTGTTTTGAGTAAGGAAAGCTTTTCATGGTTTACCAAATGTAATATAAACCAAATACATTTGGTATTACTTCAGAATTTTTTCCCCTTAAAGCTCTTCACTGTGGTGACTGTGCTATTCAGTTTATCTTTTAAAAGTGAGGAGTCCAAGACAAGAAGAGTGATGTATGCAAAAGACTTCACTTTCTATCTTCTCTTAGAAGAATGATGCTACCAACCAGTCAGCATTTTATTTCCACCCCAGAGGTGTCAGTCAATCTGTCATTCTTGACCTAGATGGAGAAGCTTTGCACCTTGGTATTTTCATCTTTCTCAGTAAAACATCACCCACAAGGCCATCCTTACTAAAATATTGACTCCAGAGGAAAGCAAGATAGCCAAGACAATTCAGTGACTACTTAGGAGTAGTCACGATTCCAGAAACCCTGATGGCCAGTTGTTAGATTTTATCCAACGTGAAACACTTTTAAAAAGAAGTGGAAATGCAGAAACCAGTGACTTCTTGCACACTTGACACACACACACACACACACACACACACATACTGGCATTGGAGTCAAAATTTGTGTTTCTTGTGTTTTTGACTTTGTGCATTACACAGTGTTGAATTTGGATGTCAGTTGCCTAACAGTTGCTAGGAGCTGCATACATTATGTCAAAACACCTATGTAGCTAAATTTGTGAGACCCTGCAAATATATGAA